GAAGGCAGGGGTCTTCGGTGACACTCTCCGTTGGAGTCCTCGGCGGCAGTTCCCGACAGGGTCCTCGGTGGCACCGATGAGAGTCATCGGTGGCCTCTCCTGTGCTGTCGCTTTCTTCTGCATGAAAGTAGGACTCAGGAGACTTCGCCTCAGAAGACTTCGCCTCGCACGCGGAGAAGACTTAGGAACGAAGAAGACTTATCTCATGGCTTGACGACTTAGGAGCTACATGATCTCTAGATATCAACGTAGTTCAGTGGGCGTTCGTTGTGTCAATCAAACTTTGAACATTAACGTTGAGCGGGTGAAATCCGCACCCAACAATTATGGCGTCTAGTCAATGAGGGTAGTGCACCTTATGACGCTACAATCACTACGTATTGTTCAGTGGAGTGTTGGCAACGGCTATGATAGGAAAAATTAAATGTAACGTTAAGTCTAACTGGAGGATCCGTTTCTTCACAATGGAGGTGCTTGGATCACCTTTAGTATGTACACGAATATCTTGATTGCTACGAATTATCAGGCTGTATTTGAGTAGTGAGTTGAACAGAGGACTTGAAATGACTATGATTATGTTTACACATAAGAGTGATACAAGAGAATTTATTTGAGTAGTGAGTTGAACAGAGGACTTGAAATGACTATGATTATGTTTACACATAAGAATGATACATTGTTCTGTATGATTTATTACAACTCAAAAAAGATTAAGCAAGTAACAAAGTGACTACATGATTATTACACAACTTTGTGGACAAGGAGCGGATCCAAAGTCTTGACGAACAAACCTCAGAAAAAGACAGGCTCAAGCACGGATCAGAGTGACACCAAACGAGATGGTACATATCATCAAACCAAACAATCCCAAGAAACCGTATTTCCTGCAACATATAGAGATTACAAAGATGAGAGGATAGGTTACAAGTTGAAGAGATATTTGAAGGGGGGGGAAGAAGAACAAACCCTATGGTAAGGCGCTTCATGGGATCTCCAGTAGAGTAACCTTTAAAGTAGAAGTAGCGAGTAACATTATAGAGCAAACCCAAGACAGTACAGATGCAAGGGTGTTTCATTCCACCAAGGATCATGAGTATGAAGTACATTGGCATATTCTCTAGAGAGTTTTGATGCCCTCTCTGCAATCAAAAAAATTTCAATAAGTTTGGGCTCAACAACATCTGAAAACAAGTGGAAGAACACAAGGAAGGGTTTGTGTGTTTCAACCTGAACGCAGTTGAAGAGTTTAGCATCTTTGTTTTCTGATTCAATAGCATACAGAGTTGGATACGGCACGTTATACCTGTGCATCAAAGGATTATATATGCTTCTCAAATGAAATCAAACACTTATGGGTAAATAAACAAGAGAGATGCGACTACAAAATCCAGATTCTAACAAACTGTAACGAGAAAAAACAAGTTTTAGATCAAGCAGATTCGGAGATCTACCTCCTCAATCCCCCGATCCGAACCAAACGCGTCGATTTAGCTTAAGGCGATTAACAATAAGCAAGCGCCAGAAAAGGAAATTTTGCAATCGGAGATTTGAGAATATCAAAGGCGAAGAAGAGGAAGTTTCTAGAAACCTTTTGCGAGCTCCACCGACTTGAGCACCCATCCAAAGGTTGAGGAAGCAGTAGAAGACGAGGACCAAAACGACATATCCGTACTCTTTAGGCAGAAATTCAGCAGCGATCGCCATGGATGATGATTCGAACAAGAAACGAGTCTGTGGTGCTTCTGAATCTTTTTTTTGTTGGGTCAACTCGTAAGAGATCGTCGTCTATGAGACTGTCAAGAAATATAAAATTATTGTTTGAGTCGGCAAATAGATTTTATTTTTCTTACAGTAC